CTTTGGACATGATACCTAACCTCAGCTGGAACTTTCCTGATACCACTATTCTGACTTAGTGAAATCTCCAGACTTTAACAATTAGTGGAGAGTTACTATTAAATGTCTGGTGTTTTAGGTTACCAAATGTGGTTTGATGGTTTATTGAATAATAAACTTATATTTGGGTTATTGAGAACATGCTCATTGCTGAAAGACTTCTAATAATAGGAATTTTCTACACCCTGCTCTTTTCTTTTCTTACAACTGCAAAGTGTGGAAATTTCTAGATTTGCAAACCCTTACAAAACCTCCCAAGAGGGTTTTATTGTGTAAAGTTGGTTTTAATTTTAAATGTATCCTTAGGGAGGTTTATTATTTTAGTATCCTTCTTTTATGCTCCCATCACAGAAGACAAAGCAAAGAATTCTCCTTGCTGCTATAGGGAGAATTCTTTTGGGGTTCTCTCTCTTGGCTATGTGAGTATGATTGTGTGTTTGGGTGTGTATATCAAATTCAAATCAAATTCAAACCTTTATTGTCAGAGTACAACATGTGTACAATGAGATTGGCTGAGACCTCCCTTCGTGCACTCCCCCAACACAATACAACTCACAGTGAAAGACCCCAAAAAAATCCCTAGCCCAGTGAATCCTACTAACAAACACTCAATTCTATTGCACGTTGCACCGGCCCCGCAAATCAATTTCTATGTTGTTGTTGAGTTATTTTTCATTCAGGAATCTGACAGCCCATGGATAAAAACTGTTCTTCAGTCTGTTTGTGTGGCTGCCTATGCTTCTATATCTCCTTCCAGATGGTAGGAGAATAAAGAAGGGCTGACTAGGGTGTGAGTCGTCCCTGAGGATTTTCCTCACTCTTCTAAGGCAGCGAGCCCTAGGGATGTCGTCTAGTGGTATCGGGGGCAGCCCACGATGTTTTGTGCTGTGCTCACCACCCTCTGTAACGTCTTTCTATCTGCAGCTGTCAAGCCAGCATACCACACCATGGTATGAGTGAGGACGCTTTCTATTGTGGACCGGTAGAAGGAGGTCATCAGTTGTTGTTCCACTTTATTTTTTCACAAGACCCTAAGGAAGTGGAGTCTCTGTTGGGCCTTTCTGGGCGCCTGGATCATGTTGATTTTCCAGGTGAGATCTTCCCTGAGATAGACTCCCAGGAATTTAAAGGAGGAAACTCTCTCCACACAGCCCCCCTCGATGTAAAGTGGGGCAGGTTCCTCTATCTTCTTCCGGAAGTCTAACAACATCTCCTTTGTCTTGCTGATGTTCAGGATATGTGTGGGGAGGAGGTGGGGGATGGGAGAGAGAGGGAAAGAGAGAGAGATTCTCTTTCATATGGATCCCTATGAGATATCGAACAAAAACAAGAAAATATTTTTCAACAAACTTTCTCTTCCTACAGAAATGGAATTTTCATGTCTTGTCTTCCCACTTTTCTGGGGCAAAGAAATCTTGGTATTTACATTTTCTCTTTCCATAGTCTAGATGGGTGAAAGAAAGGAGGCATAATAATGCTAGAGTTTCCTTAGATTTTCATGACTTTCCCTCTGTTTTGAAGTACTACAGCAACAAAATCTGTTTTTATTTTTTCTCACAATATTATTTTGATGTAAAATGTTGACTTTTTTAAAAAAAACAAAAACCCATAGCCGCTTCCCCCACCCCCTTTCTCATTTCCTGATGTTCTTGATTTCAGAAGGTTTCAGATTTGATAAAGAGCAAGAAGTTTATTGCTTGGAAACTCCTACATTTTCAGATTGTCTTTAAGTGCAGATGACAAAATGAAGGAAATTTTGTAACTATGTTTAATGAAATAAAAATAATGGGGATGGGTTACTTCCTCTTAATTATGTGGGCAAAACTTCTCCTCTCTAGTTAAAAATTAAGAATGCTGGAAAAGTGTGATAAGAAAACAAGAATGAAAAACGGGAGTGTTCCATTTCCTGAAATCTCAAATTATAACTTGAATTGCCATAATGTTGTCTTCCTAAAGTCCCCTGCTTCCTTCTTTGCTCCAATTACAAGTTCTGTACTAATAAACTTTACATCCAGTTTTAGAACCAATTCTGAGAAAATAAGCTTGAAAGAGGGTCAAAAATCCTTCCACCCACTTGGACTTTTTCCTCATATCAATACATCAGTAACGGGTTGGGTTAGGGAAGGAATCATTAGGGCAGAAAACCGATTTTTGTGGATAATTCTATCAGCAGACACATTGACCTACAACCAGCCTATGAACCCCTCAGAATCCAAATCACACAGCCAACCGGAGACAGCACTGAGTCTTAACCAATCCACACAACACCCCCCCACAGCACTTCATCTCCTAATGTAGGTAGGTAATCTAGGTAATTGCCTTATCACAAGACCCATCACAAGACTCCCTGATGACTCACAGTTGACCCATCACAAGACCCTCACTTGACGCACCCACACCTGAAGCCCTTATAAACAGAAGAACACTGACATCCCCTAAACTCTGCTGAGGATATTACCTAGCCTGGTAACTAAATGTTTGGAAACCAACCCCAAGTTTGGAGAACGAACCTTTACCCTCATAACCACTCTTTTTTCCAGAGTAAGAATATGAAATAAAAGTGATTTGAAATCAGTGGTGGGTTGCCCCCAGTTCGCACCGGTTCTATAGAACTGGTAGTAAAACCAGCGGGAGGCTCCGCCCACCGACCCCGATGTCATCAGAACATTTCTGCACATGCGCAGAAGAGCACATGTGCGCTCGAGCGAAGCGAGCACGCGGGCACGGCCCCATTGCAAATCAGTAGTAAAGGTAAATAAAACCCACCCCTGATTGAAATGGTTTGCCATGTACACCCACCCACCCACCTACAAACATACACACAGACACACAAACTTTAATGAGGTTTTCTGTGAAAAATACATCACATTGTACTTCAAGGAGAGATGTTTACTTTGGACCAGTGGTGGGTTCCTACCAGTTCACCCCGGTTCGAGCAAACCTGTACCAGCAGCCACGGGAGGCTCCGCTCACCTGCCCAGACGTCATCAAAAACACTCTGCGCATGCGCAGAAGTGCCGCACACCCGCGAAGCAAGCACGCACACCCGCGTGCTACCAATAGCGCCGGGACTTGAATTCCACTACTGCTTTGGACCAACTGACAATTGATGAAGAAGACATTTTTAACTGACTCTGTGTTAAAAGTTTAATATCATCTATCAGTCCAATATCTATCACAGCCCAATAACAATATTTACAACTACATTTGTAAACAACAATGTTTGGACCAGCAGCATTTTCAGCTTCTCTGAAACCTGAGATAGTTAAATCCTTTAAAACTAGGAAAAAAATTACTATAATTAGTTTTTATAAATGCTTCTCATCAATAAATCGATTCAATATGCAGATGTTAAGTAGTGGATTATATAAATATGATTGTGTGTCAACAGCGCAACTGAGATTGCAGATTCTTCCAGAAATGCTCAGGGGTTCTCCTATTTTTCTGTGCATGGCCTGGATGAGAATATTTTCAGACAATACCTAAACAATTGAGTCGTGAGCTCCAGTTTGGTTTCAGGAAAGTAGCTTGGCTGGGAACACACTCTTAGCTCCATTAGTAAAAGATAAGTGCCTATGGCCCTTTGTTTAAAGCTCTATCTCTCAACCTTGACAACTGTAAGATGCCTTGACCTCAACTCTCAGAATTCTGGATGGGTGAGGAAACTGGGAGCTGAAGTTCATCCATCTTAAACTTATCAAGGTTGAGAAATGTCCAGGAAAGGTTGGAAGATATTTGGCTAAAAATATCTTTCTAAAAATATAACACCCCCCCCCCAGCTTAACTCTTAAGCATCAGGTTAGTTTGAGGAGGTACTTCCATAAACAAAGCTAAAATTCCAATTCTTAGTATATGCCAGAGTGATCCCTGAGACTGTGAGGAAGCTTCTGATACCACATGTTGCATTCATTTCATTTATTTAAAGGGCTTCTTTCAGCTTTTGTATATACTGTACATGGGTATGGAATATGGACACTAATTTCACCAGAGGTGGGTTTCAGCAGGTTCTGACCAGTTCTGGAGAACTGGTAGCGGAAATTTTGAGTAGTTCGGAGAACCAGTAGTAAAAATTCTGACTGGCCCCGCCCCCATCTATTCTCTGCTTCCCAAGACCCAGCTGATTGGAAGGAAATTGGGATTTTGCAGTAACCTTCCCCTGGATTGGGGAGGGAATGGAGATTTTACAGTATCCTTCCCCTGCCACGCCCATCAAGCCACGCCCACCAAGCCACACTCACAGAACCGGTAGTAAAAAATTTTGAAACCCACCATTGAATCTCACAGTTGATACAAAAGCTACAAGTGGCAGAAAATACCATGGAAAGATACATGCTCAGCATTACAAGACAAGATAGAAAGATTAGAGAACAAACAAAACTATACAATGTCATCAAGAGAGTAAAAGAATTGAAATGGAAATTCAAATGGCTGGTCACATAGCAAGAAGAACTGATGGCAGGTGGACCAAGGCAGTCATAGAATGGATCCTACTTGATAAAAGCACATTTGAAAAAGACCAAACAAGATAGATCAATGACAACAGCAAGTATTGTGGGCCCAATTGGCAAAAGAAAGCTCAAGACCATATTGGTTGGAAACAGGTGGACAAGGCCTTCATCCTGCATTGGACAATAGTTAAAATGATTATATATGTGGGTATCAAAAGTTATGAATAGGATATAAAAATCTCAAATTTTATTTATGGACCTGCTGGGTTTTATTGTTTGCACAGTGGATCTAGACAAATATTTACACAATTCTCTTAACTCTAATCAATAATTTTGGGAAGCATGGCTATGTGTAACATAAATGATTTTAGCAAATAGAAAATGTGTTGATAGCATTAGGTGTCTTTACTTATTCAACTGGTTCATTATGAGTCAGGAAGATGTGATGATGTCATAATGAGTAACCACAAAAAATGACAGGAGGGATTCTGGTAAAAAAACAGACTTGTCCACAATTATTTTGTTATATGGATGCATAGATTGTGAACAATATGGATCTATTGTTCTTGATATTTTTGCCTTTCCTTGTCTGTACTGGAGGAAGAAGTAAAGGTATGATATCTTTGAAAAATTCTCTGTTTCCTTTAGGAACACAGATTGCTTTTGTTATATACCATATTTTTTGCTCCATAAGACACACTTTTTTGTCCCCCAAAAATGGGTGGAAATGTCTGTGCATCTTATTGAGCGAATATTGCATCACAGACTGGGCCGTGGCAACGGGGGGGAGGGGGTTGGTGCTGCGGTGGCAACAGGCAGCAGCAGCGAATGGCCTGTCGCCACCGCCGCCTATCACCGCCACTGCCTATTGGCGGTTGGATCGACCTCCTGGAATACTGCTGATCAGCTGTTCCAAGTGGCGGGGATCACTGGCTATCGCCGCTGCCTGTTGATGATGACGATGTTTGCCGCCACCGCCATTCGCACAGTGAACAGGAGGCTGTCGCTCAGCTGACTGGTGGTGGGCGCAATGGAGCGGAGCCCTGACGAGCCACATACTGGGGCTGGAAGGCAGAGGCAGATTTTTTTGTTTTCTTTCCTCCCCAAAAGCTAGGTGCGTCTTATGGTCCGGAGCGTCTCATGGAGCAAAAAATACGTTAACTGTATATTAAATGATTTTGCTTGTGGTTTAATTAATTAATTAATGTGTTCGGTTATGGTTCAAATCCTTGCAAACTCCCAAATTTGTTGACAGAAAAAGGAAGCCGTTTGGATATCAAAAAGCAGGAATTGCTGAATTTTTGGATTTGGGTTTGGATTCTCAAGTTTATTTGAACCTCTCTTTTTACTGTATTTGAATATGTTACATTGAGCAAGTTTGAGCATGTAACACTCTAAGTATTGATACTGCCAACCCTTTAATGACAGATCTCAATATTCATATACGTAATAATGAGAAAATGTTCTTTTTTTAAAATTCTGAGTCAATTTGTAAATAATAAACTTCTTAGTCTCAGAAATACCTGAAAATACTTCTCTTGCAGATTAATTCTTTGGTGGTGACGTGGGGATAGATGGGGGTTCACTTTTCAGCCTATAACAATTTTAAAGAAACTATGAGCAGTTAGTTTGTGGGCTGTGGGAATGGAACAACCTTGGACAGCACCTTTCCAACATGAAAAGCCAGAGGTCAGACAGGGCATGAAGTTGTGACATAGCCAACCTGGCTAGGAATAATTGATAATGATGGAAGATCGCCACTAAAGGAAAACTTAAGAAAAATGTATATTCCATAAACCTAAAGACCTGTTGGTAATGCTTTCTCTCTCTCGCCACCCTCCCCCTTCTCTCTGTCTCTCTGTCTCTATATTTCTATATCATCTATCATCTCTCTCTATTTATCCTATTATTTATCTATTTATATATCATCTATCATATTTATTGCTATATCTATACCTAAATATAGATATATCTATATCTATACATCTATCTATCTATCGATCAATCGATCGATGTATATCATCTATATCTACCTAATCTATCTATCTATCTATCTATCTATCTATCTATCTATCTATCTATCATCATCTCTCTAGATATATATATCATTTATACACACACACACACACACACACACACACATACACACACATATATGTCTATCTATCATCTTTCTCTCTCATCTCTCTAGATCTATCTATCATCTATCTATCTCTCTATCTCTCTATCATCTATCTAGATCTATTTATCTATCAATCATCTATCTATCTATCATCAAAGATATAAAAGTGGGGTATTTTTTTTAATCTCTCTCTCTGTGTATCTTTGAGTCAGTGTTGACTCTTGGCCTTAACCACTACATCAAACTGGCTCTTTTTAAGTTACTTTAAAAAGCATTTATTTAAAAATATTCAATTATTTTCAGTCCTGTGATCTAAACTGAGGAGCACAAAAATAAATATTGTTATTTTTTTTCTTTTTTAGAGATTCCAAAACAGCATTTGAAAGAAGATGAAAGAATAAATATTAAGCTTCTGGAGAGTTTAAAGACCTTGCAGAAATATTGTAAGCAGCAGATATGTAATGAAGCAGTGAAACGTTATGCATACACTAAGTTTAAATTGATTTTATGCCATGTCGTAATTGAATGGTTATTTTCCCAAACAATTTAATGAGGATTATTTTACATTCTCGGAGAATACAGTAATGGAGGCAAGTTTTTTCCCCCCCTGCATAATCTTTCTTTTGGTAGAGGGTATCCAGTGGTGGGATTCAGCCAGTTCGCAACACTTCGGGAGAACCGGTTGTTAACTTTCTGAGCAGTTTGGCAAACTAGTTGTTGAAAGAAATCATTAGGGCAGAGAACCGGTTGTTAAATTACTTGAATCCCAACGCTGAGGGTATCTGAAAATCCAAGATGGCTTTTTTAAAAAAACTTTTTCATGTATTATAATTTGGTCAGTTTTTTCTCATTTAATCAAACCTTTGTACATTGACTCAGATGCTAAAACATTCCTGGAAATCTGCCAAGCGTGTTCCTGGGCATCATGTAGGGTCTGGGGCACTCTTCAGCTGATTTGGTTATGTGGGCCAACTCTCTCAGCAGTACAACACATAAATGGAAGGAACATCCCAAATTCCCCTGTAAATGTTTACTATAACAAAAGATTTGGTTTTCATGAACAGTCTGTATTCTAGAGAAGCTTATATTTGCCATTAATTACGATCCTTTCAAGGACTCTGATCAGCATCCAAGGATCTCCATAATGCAGTTTGAAATTGATTTCCCTAAATGAAAAGCCATTCAGCCAGGCTGAATGCATAGAGATGGGTGGTCTCTCAGTATGATTAGATGATATATATTAGAAAGAAAGGGGGGGGAGAGAGGGGGGGAGAGAGAGGGTGGGGAGAGAGAGGGAGAGATGACAAATAGATGGCCCGTGATGGTGAACCTATGGCATGTGTGCTCAAAGTGGCACAGGAAGCCATGTCGCCTGGCATGCACGGCCTTGCCTTTTTGTCTTCTGGGTTTCTGGCGCACATATGCGTGCGACGGTCAGCAGTGCCGAAAATCGGCCTGTGCATGCACACCAGCCAGCTGATTGTTGGGCACGCATGCATGCTAGAAACAGGAAGTTCGGCTTTTCCGGAGCACGGCCCTGATGAGCACACGCATGTCCGTGTGATGTTTCCGTACGACCTTTTCGGCACTTGGTGCCAAAAAAGTTCACCATCACTGTTGATGATGATCGATAGATAGATAGGTAGATAGGTAGATAGGTAAATAGGTAGATAGGTAGATAGAGATAGAGAGATAAGAGATACTGTATAGATAGATATAGATATCTGGAGATAGGTAGAGATATAGATAACAGATGATTGATAAATACATTGAGAAAGAGAGAGAGAGACAGATAAAATGTGGAGAGTTGTAAAATAGGTGGACTACGTATTTCCTTTTTTAGAAGAAAATATGTTATTTTGTGAACCCTAACCCTGGCTCTGGCCTTAACCCTAACCCTCAAAGCAGTAAAAATGTATTTTTTAAATGCTATAAGATTAGGCCGCTCAATTCATATGTCCAACAGATACATTTAGGTTGTTTTTAATAAACACTCTGATATTATCTTGCAGTGGAAGAGCTCAAGACCACAACCAAAAAAGAAATTATATCAGAACCCGAAGATGGTAAGACTTATGCAGAGAAGTAATTGATCTTCTGGTAACACTTTCTGAATTGTACACTTTCCAATATGGTTTATAGATGTTATCATCAAGATGGGTGTTTCCCATTTCTGTGGTATTTGAAGATATCCACTGAACTTTGCTTTTTTAAAATGTAGAGTTCTGGCAATTTCTATTCTTTCAGATATTAGCTAGAGAATTTAGAACATTTAATGCCAGCATTTTAAATTATGGACACCAAAGTTCAACCAGATTAATAGCTGCATTTCTTGAGAACTGGAACAAGAAGCTTCAGGTTTTTAAAAAATGATTTCTAGGGCAGAGCATTTTTTAAAAAGATCCTATAATATCAAACGTATGTTTTTAAAATGTGGAACATCACCTTGCTTTTTTCAGGGGGAGGACAAAAATCCAAGAAACAGTTAAATAAACTATTTTCATAGTGGTATTTAATTTCATTTAGTGGATAACATACAAATTTAATGGTCTGGGTGCACTTGCTTATGACAACACCCAACATCTGTGTCTGAAGTGAAATGTTGATTGGCCTTATTCCATATTTTTTTTAAAAATTTGATTTATATGCTGCCCTTCTCCGGAGACTCAGGGCGGCTTACAATGCGTTAAGCAATAGCCTTCATACTTTTGTATATTTATACAAAGTCATCTTATTGCCCCCATAATCTGGGTCCTCATTTTACCTACCTTAGAAAGGATGGAAGGCTGAGTCAACCTTGAGCCTGGTGAGAATTGAACTCGCAGTAATTGTAGGCAGCTGGAAGCTAAATACTACCTTTAAAAGTAGCATTAGTCCTGCTGTGCCACTCAGGCTCATATTTGTTTCTCATTGTTGTAGTTTCTGAAAATCCAGTGCCTTTTTTCCTCTTCATTATTATTTATTGTTTTATCATACAAAGGAGAATACAAAACAGAAAAACAAATAAAAAAAAACCCAAAATAAAACGGAAGCATACATTCAACCCTAAGAACAACAAAAAGGGGGAAAAAATAATGTACTAATAATAAATACTAATAATAAAGAGGAAAATAATAAGAGGAAAAAGTGATGAAATAAAATTAACATTTAACATGTAGGATCCATCATGGCTGGGTGCTGAAAAAAAGAAAGAAAAAGCAATAAATTTTCCTCCCCTTTTACATGTGTGTATAAAAGAAAAAAGAAGAAAAAGCAGTCAACAGGTTAAGCTAAACATTACACTAATTTTTTTAAATGAAAAATGCCCTTTTTTAAAAAATGAAAAACTTATATTCTCAGTGAACTTTCTTCCCAAACTGTTCCCAATTCTTTTAAAAAAGGCACTAATAGATTGTTTCTTTGGGACAGTTTTTTTTTTTTTTTTACCTGTCAGACTAAATGGGCCCGATCCATAGATGAGATTAAAAACCAAATTTGGCTTAATTTAATACACAATTAAAATGAAAGAAATTGGATGAAGCTAAAATGTCTACCATTTGGGCATTTCATATATTTCCCAGATCTGAAAAAATCAACATTGTAATCTTGGGCAGGGTGAATAAGGATGGATTTTTTTTAACCCCCCTTGCAGTAGTGGGTTCCACTTACCTTTGCTACCGGTTCGGAAATGGGAATGTGTGCAGCACTTCTGCGCATGTGCAAAACCTTCTGCACATGCGCAGACCATCCGTGATGACGTCCAGGTGGGTGGGCGGAGCCTCCCACCACCGCCGCTACCGGTTCCCCCGAACTGGGGCGAATCAGTAGAAACCCACCATTGCTCCCTTGGACTGCTCCTCTTTAATTTCTTACAATATTATGGTAACAGAAAGTCTCTGTTGCACGAGAGTTTTATCTTATTAAAGAATTAAAGAGGAAGTAGCTTTCTTTTTGAAACAGTTATTGTGTTTTAATTGTTATGGTGTAGTACATCATTCTAAGGCGTTTGCAAAATGTGGTCTTTAAACAAATGTAATTGTAACGTCACAATTAAGAGGTCCTTGGTGCTCTCTGAGCTTGGTCGTTTTCTTGCAGATGTGTTGTCCCCCCAAATAGGTTACATCATCATTGCACTGATGATGTTACTTTGTTTGGGTAATGAAACATCTGCAAGAAAATGACCAAGTTCAGAGAACACCAAGGACCCCTCATTTCAACCCCGAGCTACAAATATTTTCCTTTACTGCTTGTCATTATTGATATGAAGCCATGTGCCAGCCTTCCTTTAGAAGCAGCAATTAGAGAAAGGTATATGTGTGATTCTCATTTAGAAGACTATTCTGAGTGTCTCTTTGTGTTTTAATTTTTAGAACCAATATTTGGCCCTCACTATCCCATCATAAATGTACAAGAGCCTCCCATGGATATCCCTGCGGAAGGTATCGTTCAGCTCAAAGGATGTTATTAATATGAGGCTAAGTATCAATGGTGGGTTGTCCCCGGTTCGCACCGGTTCTATAGAACCGGTAGTAAAATCGGCAGGAGGCCCCGCCCACAGACCCCGATATCATCAAAACGCTTCTAAGCGCATGTACGAAGCAAACGTGTGCGCAGCCCTGCTGTGAACCAGCCTTCTAAGGTAGTGATGTCACTGATAGAGGTGACTGTCAGACCTGCCCCAATCTGATCCCTTAGGGAAGAAAAACCCTCAACTCCATTTGCTTGAAGTGAAAAGTACTTTCACTAAGAGATGCTGGTTGCAGCAAAGTTAGGCAGAATCTGAATTTTCCATGCAGCAAGACCAAACTATTTCTTCCAGTCCCATCCCTCCCCCCATGGCCAATCTGACCCCAGCCAATGCAATGTCGCCTGGATTTTTGGGAACGCTGAGGTGTTTGGACTGGTAATTTCCGTACTCAAGGCAAATGGCCTTGACCTTGGCACAAACCGGTCCCACGGTGATCTGATTTTCTTCAGATGTCATCCCACCCTCCCAAATTCCCATACAAAAATGTATACAGATATATTGCTGCCCATTTGTGTCCCCCTCACACTCCCCCCCCCCCAGTCCTTTGATGGCACGACACAAGTGCTGCACTGAGCCAAAGATGGTGGACCCGACAGGTCATATTTTAGCTCTGCTTCCTCAACTCTTCTCTGTTTGATTTCAACTACAGAGCAAAAATAAACACATTATAATTCTTAATACTCATAATCTAACCCATATGTTACTTGCATCTACCTAGCCATTCTATCTTCTACATACACGCTACCCACTTCTGTCTCCAGTTCAAATTCTGTATCAGTTTAACCATTACAGACATCTGATGAAGTCAGGTACTATTTACAAAAGATTATTTTTATTTAAAAGAAATACTTGATAGAAAAGGTGCTACCAAATACTCCTGGTAACCTGTTAATTTTTTGCCAACATTCCCTTAAGTACAGCTTTTGGTTTACATCCCAGAATTTTTGACAAGAGACTAAATTAATGTCTCATGGAACCTTAATAGCACTGGATCAATAATTATGTACAGAAGAATTAGTAAAATTCTAAAGGATGTAAATTAGATATCTTCTTGCTACACATAAAGAAATACAGTTTAAAAGTTTCATACGCTTAGCTCATGGAGAACGGTTCTTAAGTAATATTAACTCTAATGTCAGAGGGACATCACTTTTGATTTCATACTTAATTATTTAAAAGATTAATTAGAGATATAAAACTGCTGGCAAAAATTGTTTTTATTTTATTATTAAATCACCTTCTTCTAAAATTCATTGCAGGATTACATGATGATCAGCTGGATATTCCTCACAATATGTTTTTCCAGCCTGTGCCATGTAAGGAAACAGTTTAGCAGTGTTGAAACTTAAAATGTTTACTATATCAGCTATATAGTTTCTAATGCTCATCTATCATAAAGGAAGTAAAATATTCGGCTTTCAAAGAACTTGAGCTGAATTGCTGCAAATAATTCCCAATTCTTGCAGCAAATAGTTAGGTAAGCTAGAAAATGAATACAGGTAATCCTTGAGTTAGGATTGTAATGGAGCCTGCCCATTAGGATCGAAAGTCAGGACAACATTAAACGAACTGCCTCAAGTAATGACCAGCCATCCCTGTTCTCCCCAGTGCATTTATTAAATGAATGTACGGGTCATTAAATGGACTTCAGAGGTGGGGAAAATGCTGGCAGGCCTAATGCAGGCACAAGCCCACCTGCCTCAAGGTCTCCCAAGACTTTCCCCACTCCAAAATTCTCCATGCTCCCCTGCGCCGCCCCCCCCCCCCCGTATGCCTTGTATGTCATATCGTCACACAGCCAGCAAGAAACAATGGGGAAGGAAAATGTTAGGCGAGCCTGGCTTTCCTAATTCTGCCCCATCAGCTGAAACAATTCATCTCCAAAGAGATGAATTCATCTTCCTCTACAGTCTAGGCCAGTGTTTCTCAACTTTGGCCACTTTAAGAGGTGTAGGCTTCGGCACCCAGAATTCTGCGCCCAGATATGCTGTCTGGGGAATTCTGGGAGTTGAAGTCCACACCTCTTAAAGCAGCCAAGGTTGAGAAACACTGGGCTAGCCTTTTAAGTCCTAGCTGGGCTCTATAGGCAGCCGGAAGGAGAAGTAAAGCCTGCAAAGACCCAGCATCCTCCATTTTATTGCCCGAGTCTTGAGTCAGCTAAACTTTCGGAGATTGTTTTTTTTTTCCTCCCTCAAGTTCAAGGGAAAAAGTCGCAAAAATATTTGTTTGCTAACTTTGCTTGCTTCCATTCCTCTACTCTTCAGCCTGGAGTCAAGTTAAGATTTTTAAAAGAGATAGAGATTGGAGAGCAAAGGGAGGAAATTTAATTTTTGTACCTATTTTTTTGTCGGGGTGGGCGGATATCAACAAGTCCATCCCTCCTAACTTTTTTTGTTCTCTTTCTTAAAGAACTGTGGATTTCTGGGAGAGGGATGAGGTTAAAGCAAAGGAAAGATTCTGGGAAACAGTTCCTGAAGCTGCAACCTTTGCATGCAGGGCTTGGCTTCCTAAAACCTTGCAAGAGATAGGAGAGGCATTCAGCTTCCTATCTGCCAGCTGATGATGGGGCAGAAAGCTTCAAAAGCAGCTGCCATTCTATTGCAATTCCATTGCAAGGAATTGTCAGGAAACTGAAATGGCAGATGCTTCTTTTTCTTTTCTCCCAGGATGTTCTGTTCCTACCCCAGTCTTTCAATTCTTTCAGTGCTCAGTTGCTCCTATAACTGAGTTTATCCCCCCTCTTGCTGCTGTCCTTTCTCTTCTGCTATTTCCTTCCACTTTTCCAAGTTTTAGAGCCTTCTCCAGACAGCCTAAGAGGTCGAAAATAGAATAAGGCCAAATATATCTATCTCTTTGTCTATATCAACAATTATTATATCTATATCTCATCTATGTATCTATCTATGTATCTATCTATCTATCCATCCATCCATCCATCCATCCATCCATCCATCCATCCATCCATCTATCTATCTATCTATCTATCTATCATCTATCTATCATCTGCATCTATATATCTATCACCATCTATATTTATATCTCTATAAATTTGTATCTATATATCCATATCTCTTTATTACATATAATTGCTAGTTTCCATTAATTCATTCCTTTGCTTTTGGAAGTGACTATATGTACAATGAATTCAAACAATGCTAGATTTAATTCTTAATATTACCATACAGGTTTTTTTCTGAATTGTTTATCCAAAGAATGCATTTATTAGCATTTATTCCTACATCAGACAGAGATGGATACAGGTAGTCCTCATTTAACCAGAAATGAGACTGGCAACTAAGCGAAATGGTCACTAAGTGAGAACTCATGCGATTGGGACTGTGCTTTCCTTTTCCCCATTCCCCTGCCCATTGGCCCTGGGATAGCTGGCTTGAAATTGACCAAACTAATCAGTTTCACACCTTCAGCTTTTGTTTGCCTCCTGCTCTTTGGAATGTTTATCCCAGTGCCAGGATAATTAATAAAAATGGAATTAATGTATTTACATTTATTGGAGAGCAATGGATTACAAGGGATTAAGCAGGCTCACAACGGGGAGCATACATCAAAGGACCCAGTTTGTGGGGGCAATAAGCTGACTTTGTATAAAATATACAAAAGAATGAAGGCTATTGCTTAACGCATTGTAAGCCGCCCTGAGTCTCCGGAGAAGGGCGGCGTATAAATCAAATTTAAAAAAAAAAAAGGGAATGCATCGGCACTGACAATCACAGGCACACTATGCAAACAGTCTGGAGCATTCCCCATTGTGTACCTGCTTACTTTCTTATAATCCCTCCCTCTTCAATCCCTCTGCTCTGTGAGAAAGGCAGGGGAGAAGAACAGTTCAGGCACAGGAGAGATTGCCTGTAGAAACACTTGCTCTTTTCTTCATCCCATCCCCAACCCCTGCAGAGTGGAGTGGATCAGAGGTGGGTTTCAGCAGTTCTGACCAGTTCTGGAGAACCAGTAGCGGAAATTTTGAGTAGTTCAGAGAACTGGTAGCGGAGATTTTGGGTAGTTCGGAGAACCGGTAAATACCACCTCTGACTGGCCCCACGCCCATCTATTCTCTGCTTCCTGAGTCCCAGCTATCAGGAGGAAATGGGGATTTTGCAGTATCCTTCCCCTGGAGTGGGGAGGGAATGGAGATTTTACAGTATCCTTCCCCTGCTGCACCCACCAAGCCATGCCCACCAAGCCATGCCATACCCACCAAGCCACACTCACAGAACCAGTAGAAAATTTTTTAACACTCACTGGAGTGGATATTACAGAGTACCATTGCGTTCCTTGTGATGGGAGGGAATAATAAAAAAAGGGATTTCTGTAGCCAATCTTCCCTGTGCCTTAACTGCTTTTTTTCCTCCCCTTCTGCAAGGAGTGAATAACAACAGGTGAGGTACGGAACAAGATACCTCACTTGTACCTTGTAATGGTTATCACATGACTAAGGGATGCTGCAATGATCTTAAATGCGAGCATTGGCTGTAAAGTATTTTTTTTTTGGCATTGTTGTAACTTTGAATGGTCACTGAAGAAGGCAATCAAATAAGCCTTGTCTACCCATAATTGAAACAGAGGGCAGTGTTAAAAAAAATTCCCTTTTCTTTGCTCTACTGAAATAAGTCCTAAACACTCCAATTGGCCCTACTTAACTTTGATTTAAAACCATTTTCTCTCCTCCCCACCCCTCCACACTTTAGTTTCAGATAAGGCACAAAACGCTAGGAACTATTTTGGAGTCAAAGAATCCCAACCCAAAAGACAGCGGGAAAAAGTTCTGTTGATAATATCGACTGTGAATCTTCTGCTTTTGCTCATGCTAACCGGGTGCTGCATTGTAACCGTATGGCTGCATTCCAGGAATGGCAGGTAAATCTCTCATCAAAATACCAGTTGAAAGTACTCATGGCCAACCATTGCAAGAAATGTGAGGATTCTTGCATGATCAAATCTTATTTAGATATAGCCTGATTTGGTTACAAATTATTACATATGTTAATCAGAGGTGGGTTTCAGCAGGTTCTGACCAGTTCTGGAGAACCAGTAGCAGAAATTTTGAGTAGTTCAGAGAACTGGTAGCGGAGATTTTGGGTAGTTCAGAGAACCGGTAAATACCACCTCTGACTGGCCCCACGCCCATCTATTCTCTGCCTCCCAAGTCCCAGCTGATTGGGAGGAAATGGGGATTTGGCAGTAACCTTCCCCTGGAGTGGGGAGGGAATGGAGATTTTACAGTATCCTTTCCCTGCCACGCCCACCAAGCCACGCCCATCAAGCTATGCCATGCCCACAGAACCAGTAGTAAAACATTTTGAAACCCACCACTGATGTTAATACAATTTTTAGGATAATTATTGTAGCTAAGGATTTTAATGTGATGCTGAACTATGCATTCCTAAAACACCGGATTTAGAAAAAAGAATTATTTTTTATAATAGGAAACTCTCTTGAGCTTAAAGAATGGATCCAACATGAGTTTGTTACCTATTTTTGAAAGATCTCTGTGCTCTAAACATGGGAAGATGAAGTAATTTGTGTCTATATGATTAGATTTATGCTTAGATTTAATCATAAACTATAACTATAAACCTAAGGCTTGAATTCAATTTGTATTACTCCAGTTATTACAAATATCTTTTCCCCTTTTTTTGTTAGTTTTTTGATAATTGGTCTCCTTTTGTGTTAGTTTTCTTTTTGTGTCACATAGATCATAGCATATTTACTTTTCTTCTGTAGTTCTTTTTTTCAGTTCGTGCTGTCCTTTCTTTTCTTTTCTTTTTCTTTCTTTTTTTTTTTGTGTATTTCACTATAAAATAAAATAATAAAATAAAAAATGCAGGAGAACATCAAGCTATCAATCCTTGAAGGGCAAATGGCTAAATCAGTGACTTCTAACAACCTCAACTGAATGGATGCAGAATAGCAAATTCAGACTTTTGTAAAGGCCACCGAGACAAGAGGTCTAACCCACTAAAAATGTTGCAGCAGCACCTGAAACAAATAATTCGTACTAGAAATCTTACAGATGTTACTGAATACAAGCAGGTCACCATGGGAAATGGGATCAGAATGCCTACGAAGAAATGAGAGAGATTCATCACAAATTATAGGAAATGTTTGGTTGTACTTATTGCTGCTAAAAATTCTATCACCTCTTATGGAATCTGAAGGATGATTAAGTTCTTATGGTGGCACATTGGCTCTTGGGTGCCAAACAAGTCCGAAGGCAAATAGGGCCATAAATGAAATAAAAAAAACAGATTAATGAGTAAAAGCAATTTTTCCCCATCCTAAACCACCTCAAGTCTATAGAAAAGGTTTTAAATCTATAGATTGTACTAAACTCCAGTGTTATGACACTTTTCATCCCTAGAATGAAGCTTTTCTGCCGAAAGCAAATGGCCTCCACAGTACCTTCCAGAAATTTCCAAAAAGAAGATATAAATCCAGTTTCCTTTTCATCTATAATGAATATTGTGGATGAGGCAACATCATATTCCGATGAATCAGAGCGTGCACTGGATCAAGGCCCTAAATTAGCACCCAGTACTCCTCATCCAACTATCCAGCCACCCAGAAGCAGGCCAGAGCAAGCAGCATAAATTCCTTTCACTTATGTTTTCTGTTACATTTTTTTCTTGCTTTAAAAACGATGTATTATATGAACTGGAGGGAGCTCTCTTTAAATGGTTTGGTTTCTATAATCGCCCATTTCAGCAAACGACTCTTATTCTCTTGTGTAAATTTATTTCTCCTCCTATCCTTTTTGCTTCGATATTAAACCCTGTGAAAAGTTCTCTTACCCTGGCTTATGTTTAGGTATCACAGTTGATTGCAGTTGGGACTTTATACTGTTTAATCTTTGCATAGAGTTGGAGCGAACAGAAGGAACAGAGAGGAATGAGAAAATACATTCCATAAGCATCCCTGTTTATGGAATCCTTCATGTTGTACATGAAGAAATGTGGACAACAAGAAAATTGAGAAATTCTGAATTACCAACAAAGCCTACAGGGGATGTGATGGAAAAATTTACCTAATTTGATAAATTCTTTCTCCATTCTTCTCATCATTCCAGAAAGGCCTAAAATATCACAGCTTGCTTTGAACAAGCTTTCTCAGCCACTGTCCTAGAGGTGGATGGAAACCACCACACTTAAAAGGAGTAGACCAGTTTTAGCCATCTAATCAATCCAACAGGTTTTGTTGGCTGGCTAAACTGCTTCCCGAAAAAGATTTATGGAAAAGGTAAGTGGACCTAGGTGTGATGGGGGAGGGAGTGAGACCCAGCAGGGGAGGATGGGGGGTGGGGAGGATAGACAATGGAGGCCTCATTGTTCCTCCCGTGGTCATAAGGACACACAGATTGCCAAATGCCAGAATTTTGTTCTGCAGGAGCCCTATAGCAGCCATAACTTCAAGCAGGGCTTATAAATCACTTTGTTCATGCATCATCGTAATTTCAAACCGTCACTGAACGAAACATCAAAAGTCAAGGACTACCTGTATTAGAGTGTGTGTGTGCGTGTGTTTTTCTAATGGCAACACTAACAGCATTTCCTCTCTCCCACTGTTTACCAAGAAAACTTTATTTCTCCTTTTTAATTCAAAAAAATTTCAGTGGCATGTTCAAATTTAAACAATCACAACAAATGCATGAATGTCAGTGTTGATACGTTATGCTAAATTGCTAAAAGAGCAGCAAAGGAAAAAATAATAATAATACAATGCAGCACAAATGTACAAAAAAAAAACAAACCAATGAAAGAGTTTCAAAAATCCCAATGCTTAGAAGTTTTAAATTTGACCTGTAGCACCCTCAGGTGGTGTCAGCAAGCAATTTCATCATCATCTGCTTAAGAAATGCACACAATCCTTGAGGTTGTTTTTAAATATATATTTAAAGAGTTCCAGTCCCGGAGGAGTCTTTGATTCAACTATTCTCTAATACTATTTTACATCCCAAAAACCCTATGGTGATCAGCTTTCAACAGGGACTGCAGGTCAAACCTCAAACACTGAAATAGCTTTTCCAGGCCAGGAGGGTTTGGGGTGCAAGGACTTTTAAAAAACGTTTGATGGTGATGGTGTCTAAATTTGTCTAGGCTACTGGAGATATTTTAAAAGTAACCCAGTTTGTATCTCAACACTTTGTTTTGTTTTAAAGTATATTTTGTAATGGTGGAGAACACTACACAATGTCCCTGAAAGGGAGTTAAGAGGAAGAATCTGTTTTCTTTTTCAAACCACTGGAACAAGGGGGGCAAGTTCCATTAAAAACGTTCCAACTTAGATGATGATTGCATTGTCTCCTTCTCTTGCTCAGTGTACGTCCACTGAGAAAATACATCCTTACCAGATTTAGGAGTTTAGTGTTGCAGTGAAAACAACATGGCTGGGTTTAGAGATCTCAAAAAACAAACAAACACCCTAGTAATTTAGAAGTGACCCCCCCCCCATAGCATTTCATACCAAGGCATGGACTGCCACAAAGCCATCAGATGACAACGATCCTTTGCGGGCCTAGTAAGTTCACCTGCCATGCTTTTGTGCTACAAACAAACCGTTATGTGAAACAAACTACTATAAGTTATATCAGGGGTCCCTAAGGCCTGATCAGAACCAGGCTGTGGAAGCTGGTCAGCACACATGCACAGTTTGACTTGTGTTAAGTGGCGGGCTGGCATGCACACACAGCTCAACCTGCACGAGTGCCAGGACGGTTTCCCTCTCTCCCCCCACAACTCTGGATCGACAAGCTGTAAAGGTTGGGGACCACTGACTTACATAACAGCATTTTAAAAACCCTCGCTCAGCATGATGTTCCAACCCAACCGATGATTATGCAAAATCTTGAATCTGAAAAGCTATCTTGTAAGCAAGATGCTGGATTCAGTAACTTTAATCAGACTGATACTGCTGGATTCTCCTGAAGCTCAGGGCCACTGGATGGAAATGTGTTGACTGAATCTCAATGCCTGTCAGTCTGAGAGCATGGGCACTGAGGAGTACAGAGTTTACTGCTATCTGTAAACCTAACCATTGTTAATTTTAAATCACTGTTTATGGTCTCAGCTTGTTTTTCAGCCACAAGTAATTACTAATTAGGAAAATTTCAAACCAGTCTCAAATTCCAAAGCTTGTAACCAAGTACAGCCCCAGCCACAAATTAGCAATCACTCTCTGGGTGTGTGCAACCTGTAAAATCAGCTTGATTTATTAACAAGTCTTGCCAGTCTAGACAATGGTAGGTTCATTAATAATCCATAATTAAAATCATGGTTCTGTAGGATGAGCAAAGCCAGTTGCAGTGATGAGACATTGAAAAGTATCAAATTGGAATGTATTGCATAAATTCACCCAAACTGACATGGATTGGGGAAACCTGGGTGGAGAACATGCAAAAAAAAAGCTGCACCTGCTTCTTGCAATACTTCCAAAACTGCCTACAGACTGAAATCGAGGAACTCAAGAATTGTAATTTAATATACATTTTCTGTGTATGGGGACTCTTCCCCCAGGTTTGAATAATTGGAAGTTTTTAGCGTACCAGCTAATTCAGAGTAAAACCTATATTCAGTTCAACATGGTACAGCTGACAAAAGAACTTCAAGCAGTTTTAATAAGGTTCCTGGAAATACACCAGATACGAAGAATGCAAATAGGATGTTGGCTGGATTTACTTCCTCCAGAGGGAGTAGAAAAAATTACACTTGCCAAATTCCATCACAAAAAGATTTACTCCAGACCTGTCCAACTGGTGGCCCATAGGCCGCCTGCAACCCTGGACAGTAGTAATGTGGCCCCACAAGGTTGTAAATCTTTGATGTGATTTATATACATTAATTATATTATTTTATATGCAGCCCAAGACAATTCTTCATTCAATGTGGCCCAGGCAAGCCAAAAATTTGAACACCCATGATTTAGAAATGCAATCTTTGCTCTCTTTAAACCAAGAGGAGGGGCTAATAAAGATTTTATACTCATGTACAATAAATTATTTTAGGCTTGAAAGTTTCAGCATCCTAAACACACATGCCTCCCCCCAGTATTATCTTCTTATAATGTTAGAGGGGAGGGAAACTTTGCAGAATTCTACATCCATGTAAATATGAACAAAACCTTACAACAGAGACTATTGATAAAACAAAGCATTCCAAGTGTGCAAATCTTGGCATTACATATGAAGTTGGTTACAGGTGCATATTCAATGTAAGGCCATGTAAAGGCATTTTTATCATGAAAACATCAGCCACAATCAACCGAGACTGCTCCTCTTGTGAAAATGCTGTGTAAAAGGATGCATCCTTGTGGATAATGCCTGATTTCATAAAGCAATGGTGCTGGCCTTTTGGCCACAATAAGGAATGTAATCATTCGTAAGGCAGAGCAGCATTTGCATCAATCCTAGTTTAAATGTGATATTTTAACAGTTTTTTAAAAAGTACTGCTAAAGAGGATCGGTAAATGTGAACATTTTTGCATGTCTTCAACCACTTCACTGTAGTATTGTCCAGCAGCTGAACAGGACCTCAGTGGCTGTTCAGAAGACAGCTGAGTACTGGCCAATGTCTTTTAGAACTAACATTTAAAACAAGGGGAGATTGTAATGGGTTGTATTCCTTAAGTTCAAATGCCAATACCTTTGGTACATCAACTCCTCTAAATAGAAACAGATGTCACAAAATATAAACATCCACATATGGACAGTAATCAATCTAAGTCCCTGCCAGTGATATTTTGTTTGCTATATAAGACTAGAACAAGACAAAATATTTCTTATGCTGTTCGTATCATGCTGTTTTTAAGGGCTAAGGACTATAAGTAGTGGCCTTATAGCCCAATGTATTTAGTTCGGTACCAAAATACACAATAATATTTGCACAGGGATGCAGCAAAAGTCATTTATAGTCCAAGTGTTATGCCACTTTAGACTTTTGCAAAAACAAGGCCTTCTTTGTACACACTGCTGCCTACCCCGTTCCTAGCAAAGTATTTCTAAAATGTCTGTATCAGCTTGTTGATGAAATAATTCTTTAGTGCAAAAAACATCTGAAAAAAAGTCCCTCTTTCAGAATAAAGTGCAGACTTTACTAAAAGGAAGATACAGTCCAATTCAAAGTCCAGAATGATGGATGGGGATCATCAGGCAATTTCAACTTCATCCTTGAAATATATAAATAGAAGCTTTTTCAGACTTTGGGGGATTTTTACCTAGGCAATAGTTACATTTAAATCAGAACAGCCATAATCTTGCAGACATTTCGTTAAGCAAGCTTTATCAGTCAAGATCTCTGGATTCTGGCTTGTTAGCATGTTAATTTTGCCACTAGAAAATATGAAACAAATGGCAGAGCACCAGGCTGAATGCAAATCTTAATTTTATCAAGCTACACAAAGTTGTGGTGCATCTTGGTATGGATTGCAAAATCCAAATGTCCTTCTGTTCTGCTGGAATGTTTCAATTCTTTAGGTGTTCCACACAAGGCAAGTAGGGAACTTGATTAAGAGAGAGTTGTGTTAACTTTCTCATCAAAATCCTTTTTTAAAACACACTAGGTGGTTAGGCATATGCATTAGTCACATGTGGAAAATATTAGAAGGACACCATCAATCCCAGTAAGCTTGTGGAAAAGATTTTAGAAATAGCAAACTTGAAATATTCAAGAATTGTATTGTTCAAGAACTAGGTTGAAGTCCCCTTGGCTTGAAAGAAGAACATTGTTCTCTGGAATCCTAACCTCACTAATGTATTTCATTGCACTGCCATTTAAAACGGATATTCACAGCAACCTATTGAGGGAAAAGAGCTAACCTTAGCTTTGCAGTACAGTGTTCTGGGTTATTTTATAAGCTAATTTATCGCGCGCACTTTTGCACATAAGCCACTTTATCAGCTGCCCACAGAGTCTCAAGAATACCTGCATAATAAAGCGATCAATCTTTAAAAGGTCATAATGTTCTGCTACCCTTGCTACAAGATAGCAGGACAACTGCAAACACTACTGCACACCTACGACGTTTTATGATTCATAGGTCCTGCAGGTTTACACTTCCAAATTCTGAAGTTTTGGTAGCTGGAAATACCTACACAGCTTTTTTTAAGTACTGACGCTACTGTAAATATATTTTAGACTATAACATTCTATAGGAGAAACTACATCCCTCATCATCATAAGCTAAATTCATCCTTTCATATGATAGAAACCTGGTCTTTGGCTTTTGACTCTAAAATATTTGCCTCATGCGTAACAATTCTTTATTAATTCCTATAACAGTACCTTAAAAAGGCATCATAGCCTATCCTTATACACCTGGATACAGCCAACTATCATTTTACAGAAGGCTACTAGATTAGGGCTTCAGAACCTTATCTTGAGGGTGTTTTGCATTGTCTAAAGGCCAGCTGAAAATGCTGTTGCATCTAAACCAGCATTCCTCAATTCAGATCACCTACTTGGCATGTTTGACTGGACTCCCATCTCCCAAACCAGCATGTCGTTGCACCCAAGAGAATGAGTATTGCTGGACCAAGTATAAACTATAATTCAGTAACATTTCCACTTCTTTATTTCCTTTAAAACTTTCAGCTTGCCTCATATATAAAATGTTTCTGGTGGGCTCAGAAATGCTTTAGGAAATGTTAAGTGGAAAAACTTCCCGCATCCCATATGCATGGTAGGAATGCAATACATCAGGGGTGTCAAACTGGTGGCCCGCGGGCCAGATACCTCACACGCAGGCCACACTCACTCCAGCTCCATGAAGGGGAGGAACGTCATGTGACAGCAACGTGATGCCGCACGTTTGACACCTGTGCAATACATAGTAAAAGCTGTAAAATGTTTGCTCTTGCATCGTGTGGCAACAATCCACAGGCATATACTGTTCAAATTCAACCCTATCAATAATATGCTGGTATTAACACAGAAGTGATAGCAAAATGGATTCCAGAATGTTGTATTGAATCAATTTGATGGCCCATGAGCCAGTTTAGCTCCCTAATGCTGTTAAAATTTGGGTTGTCCAGAGTATTATAAAACCACCCCAGTACTCAGCTTCTGAAAAATGTTAAAAATAACAAGTGAGGAAGATTCAATAAGCAGATTCAGATTCAGTAATCACTACCATTTCCAAACTCTGCTTTTTTTTATATTTACTATTACATGACAAGTGATGTGAGATGCTAATGCTCATATAGCTAGCAACCACTGAGATATCTGACGATGCTTGCTTGGATATTTTATACTGGAAAGTATTTCTATATATTCAAAGTTCCTGGGTAAAGACATGAGGTCGAAGTAAATCAGAGAAACAGATGCTGGTCACCGAAAAGCCACACGAGATGTTCATCCAATGCAGCAGCCAAGCTGGATTTCAGATCTGAAGACTGAAATTCCTTGCAAATCAACATCTCACATAACACAAGGTGCATTTCATCAACAACCCTTAATTCCAGTTCTAACAGTTGTTGCTTCTGGTTATGCTGGTGCCCTGACAGTCAAAAACGTGCAAAGTGTATAGTGTTCTCCACCTGTTTGGTTCACTAATGAAGTCATGATCTCTCTCTAACCAACCAGTTATTATAGTACTATTGAAGGGACTAAAAACCTTCTCCAGGTCTTTCTCTAGTGAACCAAGTGATTCCTTGGATGAGATGATTCTTCCTGTCACTTTGCTCCAATGTGGTGAGACTTTTTCACCAATACCAGGCAGTGGGATAGCTTGAAACAGAGGGCAGCACCCAATTTTGAGAGAGAAAGATTCCTTTTGCAAGTGATGATTATCCATATGAGAGCTCTTCACTAAAGAAAGGACCCTTAGAAAGTGAAGGATCTCCTTATGCTGATTTAGGTTAGTCCTTTGCTGCAGGTGATGGTGTCCCAAATCTTCTTCCGGGGCCATACAGGTAAAAGAGAAAGGCATCATTTCCCTGTCCTCAAAGCTCTGCATTGTAGTAATCCAAAGCAAATGGTGGAATGTTTTCTGGTTGCAACATAAGACATGATTTAATGAATCTCAATATGAACCTGCAAGAAAATAAAAACACAGGTAAGTAAACTTTTATCATTAAAATCATAATTAATTCTGATAGCTTTATCTGTAACTGAACTGACCAGTTAACCATTTTAAGGGATCTGTTTAGATTACAGAAACTTTGACGTGGGATAGGACGATAAAGTGTAATTTGCAATCATGAAAATAAGTAGGAATCACCCCTGGGATCTCATGTTGCCTATCTGAGGAATCAAATACGTTTGTTATTACTTTGAACTGTGGATAGATTAAACTAATATTTGATGAAAGAATCCAAGGCCATAAAATATTATTTAATCTGCATGTGATTCAACAAATGCAATCATGATTTTTATAATCCTATCCTGTTTCAGCACAGTATGGTTTAAATATTTTTTAATTAACTTTTTTGTTTGTTGATGTTTTCCTATCTGTATATTATTTTGATACTATTCATGATTAAGGGCATTCCTATTTTAGAGGAAAAAGTAAAATATATATTTTGGTTATAATCAATTTGTTAATGTATAGATAATACAGTATGCAGATTTAAAGTAAACCCAAATCATTATCTCATAGAACTGCTTTAAGCAAATAAAAACCCATCAACTACACGAGACCACCACAGCCCCCCTTTTAAATTTTACGGCTCAATAAAACAAGACACTCCAATTGATCTAACCCAGGGGTAAGCAACCTGCGGCTCTGGAGCCGCATGTGGCTCTTTCACCCCTCTGCTGCGGCTCCCTGTCACTCAAAATATGCATCACAGCCGCCAATGTGTGACACCTGCTGGCACACGATTTATTGAGCTTTTCAACCCCTGGTAGGCCAACCATGGATAAATCCAAGAAAAGTTTCAGAAGAAAACAGAACATTTAATTCAACTACATATGCTAGTTTTGTGGCCGCTCAAGAAATAGGCACGGGAAGGGTTTTGTGGCTCCCGGTGTTTTCTGTGGGAAACGGGTCCAAATGGCTCTTTGAGTGTTTAAGGTTGCAGACCTAACCTATTCTGAAATCTGTTCAATTTTAGCTTACTCTGGTATGTAAACCAAGCTGCTTATTCAATGTGATTAAAACAAATCAGAATCTAAAGAAATACAGCAACATATACAAATAGTCCTTACTTCACTGGGTAACTCCATTGCTAAGCAATACTGTTGCAAGGCACATCACATGACCGTGCCAACTTACAATTATTCCAACAGTTCCAGTTGTTGCTTGGCAAATCCTATGCAGCTGCATTGTCCCATGGTCACATGACCTTTTGCAATCTCCTGCTGGCTTTTCCTTTGAAAGGAGGCTTGTCAGAAACTGGCAGTGAAGGTTGCTAATGGCAATCATGACTGCAGGATGTTGTGATGTTAATAGCAAGCCTTGCTGCCAATGTTTGAATCACAATAACGTCATAGTGAAAACACTGTGACAGTTTCAAGTATGAGAACCTAGTGCGAGTACTCCTTGATCAGCATTGTCATAACTTTGGTCACTAAACAATGGTACATTAAGCAAGGACCACCTGTAAGTAGTGGCAGTACTAATAAACTGAAGCGTGAGCCTTATTTTATAGAGAATATTCTATGGCATTAATAAGCATGCACTATTCAACTTTTTATAAAACAAGGTAACTGTACTTCAAAAACTTAATTTTCTCTCTTCTAGTACTCTTTATCTTTGATGCTACAATTAGAGTGTTGCAATTTAAAATCTTTTGCCCTTTGTTGAATGCTGCATTTGTCACTATCCAATAAACTAACTACCAGAATATTGTCTTCCAACAATTGCTTGTTTAGACTCCACAGGGATCTGTGGTGTCACACTTCAGAATTATTCTGGAACATCTTTTCTTAAACACATTAAATGAAATATTAAAAATATCCAGATTTAAGGGACTTGTTTTCAGACCAAAAAAATCGGTTACAATTTTCATCACAGGAAGAATACATTATGGAAAAATATATGAAGAAAAATCAATTCTAAGAAACTGAGTTCTATCTGCAGTGTAACAAGTTTCATATCCCCAAATAAAATATCACCTGTTGCCTTCAATTGTTAACAAATATGCAGAAAATAGTAGTGCAGCAACTTTGGGAAGATCAGTAAGATATACAGAACTGCCTTTTACCAACTGACAGTATTTGACCATCTACTGTAGGGCAATCTACAGGAATCCATATGTTTATGAATTACAAGTACTTCTAGTACAGGGGTATCAAACTCGCGTCGTCACATTGTCATCACGTGATGCATCACAACTTTTCTCCTTTGCTAAAATGGGAGTGGGCATGATGCATCTGGCCTGTGGGCCAAGAGTTTGACACCCCTGTTCTAGAAGCATGGCCAAAGCATGTGTGTAATTATATAACATCTAAAGGCCACAGATTGCCTATTAAGCTAGAGTAACATTGTCTGCTGATTTGCTGGTTAATCAATCCTTTCATAGGATTACATCCGAGATATTTAGTATTCACAGCATTTAAATCCTGTTCTAAAAGATCATCTAAGGATCACCCAACTGGGAACAAATCAGTGTAACCTGGAAAGTTCAACCAAAATGTGTTTTGCACAAATGATAATTAAGAGTTCAGAAAATGTATTTATTGGGAAGGAGAGGAGAGTTCACTATTAACTCATCTATGTTATTAATTTGGGTAAGCCACAGTTCAAATTCAAGAACAGAGATGAGTGACATTTGCTTTTCTCACTTTAAAATTGGCAATAGAAAACAAAACTGCATTATTCATATCCATTTACTCAATCCAATTTTCTAGAACTACACAATACAATTACTCATAAAACTAATTGGCCAGCCAAGGGTTGGCTGTTTTTTGGCTCAGTGTACTGGTGAACACAACTCCAAAGGCCTCAGAGAGGGAGGGCTCTTATTTTCCAAAAAAGCTTAATCTGAACCCCAATTTTGTCTTAAGATCTGTTCTTAGTCTTTGGACTAAACCAAGAAATTTATAAACCTAATTCTGAGAACTTAAATGAGTGTGTAACTGAGTGCATACATCTTTATTTATATTTACTACCTCAGCCAGTTTTTTTAAAAAAATTAAATTCATGTTTCTTCTGTTCTCAGTGTAACCAATGTTTCCCCCCATTTAGTTGTTTTCCCCTCACCACAACCACCTTATGAGGTACACTGGACTGAGAAAGAATACCTGGTTCACAGCTTTCCAAAGAGTATTTGTGGCTGAGAATAGATTTAAACCCCCAGTCCTCCCCATTTGGAAATTAAAAGAGGGTTGTAATATATCCCTTTGTCACATCCTGCTTTTATATTACTGTTATTTCTCTGTGTGATAATTATAGAAAGAATACAACTTCTGGAGGCAAGTTGTTCCACTGATTGTTCTGTCAGGAAATTCCTTCTTAGTTCTAGGTTGCTTCTCTCCTTGATTAGTTTCCATCCATTGCTTCTTGTCCTGCCTTCTGGTGCTTTGGAAATAGGTTGACCCCCTCTTCTTTGTGGCAGCCTCTGAGATATTGGAATACTGCTATCATATCACCCCTACTCCTTTTTTTCATTAAACTAGATTTACCCAATTCCAGCAACTGTTCTTTATATGTTTTAGCTTCCAGTCCCCTAATCATCTTTGTTGCTCTTCTCTGCACTCTTTCTAGAGTCTCAACATCTCGTGGCAACCAAAACTGAATGCAGTATTCCAAGTGTGGCCTTACCAAGGCATTATAAAGTGATATTAACACTTCACGTGATCTTGATTCTATCCCTTTGTTTATGCACCCTAGCATTATAGTCTTAAGTGCTTTGATTTGGTTGTTAGTCACTGAATCTCTAAGGTTGGGCAGAATACACGTTAATAATATTTTTTTTTTTAAAAAATCTAATTCCACTTCAGGATGTAGCAGGAAATTCTCCAAGGGAACTTACCTGTTGGTTTGGTACATCATGAAAATCTGCAATACAGAGTTAATTCAAAAAACCTTTGAGGTAAGGTACAGGTAAGCATTACACGCAACATGATTTGCCACATTCTAATTTAGGCCAGGTCATTTTAATCCTCAGCAGCTACCATTCACATCAGATTCATGTTATCTTTGATGAGATTTAACCTTGGGTTTGTTTTTGGGTGGGCTTCGCCTGGTATGCAAACTCCTTTCAATTGGTTGATAAATCAGTCCGCTGGATGAACCCACAAGGTAGGGTCAACTCAGTAAACCGAGTTAAAAAGGCAGCACAAACCCAGAAAGCAGGGTTATTTCAGTTAAAAGCCATGATTTCATGTCTCTATGGTTACCTTTGCTTGGGATAGGAGCCCAGGAATGTCTCAGCTTGCTGATAAACCCGTTTGGGCAAGGTTTAAAATTTATAAAATTTATAAAAATAAAATTTAAAGCTGGCAGAGGCTGACCCATGTGGGGAGCCCTTCTTATTCTGGTGATGCTTTCTCTCCCCCCCCCTCCCCAAAGAAAAGCTCACCTGTAACCTGACGTTGAACATCATCGAAGCCACGAGGTACAGGTAAGGGAAATTGATGCGGAGCTTCCAAGCCAAGTCGAAGAAGATGAGGAGGGTCCGCGTCAGCCCTTTGCAAAAGATCCCGTAGGTGCGGGCGGTAGCCGACTGGGAAAGCCGAGTAGCCAAGGAGGACAGGAACACCGACGTCGCCGCCGCCGCCGCCATCGACGCCCTCCCCCCCCCCTCTTACTCCGCATACACAGACGCGCACACCTGCCGAGCCAGGCCTCGTAGGCTCCGCCTTCTCCGCACGCACTCGCAGAGACCCGGATGTCCATGGAACGAAGCAGCGCGGCCGGACAGCTAATCAAGTCGCTAGCACTGTCGTTAACCATGACGTCAAGACGCAGAGCGTCACCTCCTCCAATCCAAGGCTTCCTATAATGATATCATCATCTCTTCCTGTCCCCTCCCCCCCCGGCTTTTCCACTCTGCTTAATAAGGAACTTTCCGCTTTGCTGGGATTGGGTGTTTTGTCTTTCAATCTTAGGGCGGGCTTAAACCACCTTGTTTTGGTTTGTTGTTTTATATTCCATCTGTTTCTTTGCTCACCCAAATGCGAGACCATGACAGCCAAAACTTTTTTCCCCCAATGCCATCCTCTTGCAACAGGCAATTGACTAATCAAGGGAGTCCATGGAATGGTGGCTGACTTCATAAATTGCATAATTTGTGTTGCAACATCATTACACGCATGACGTTTCTCATGGCTTATATTAGATCTCTTAAGACTGCAACTCTGATCTGGAACAAACACAGCTGGCAGCCATCATCCTATTTATCTTGAATCAAAGTGAATGAACAACAGCAGCAGTAATATAAACGAATTAAGGGACCAGTCAGCAGGTCTCTGTCACATTACTGCCTTCTGGAATGATGCATCCCCAGAGATTCAGATGGTTCTCTACCTATTCACACAATCAATTACTAACTTTATGCTGCTTTTGGGAATCATGCCAGGGTGTGTGTGTGTGTGTGTCCCCTTTATTTTTTGTGGACAACACCCTGCAAACAAGGGCAAGGGATTATGGATGATTTGAGTTTGCCACCCTCTGGTCCTTTGCTGTAGGTTGGGAGGGAGCAGAGTGGCCATTTTTCATTGACGCTGATGGGACATCCCTTGCTATAGACCATTTTCTCAATCTTAGCAATCAGAATTTAACTTCGCATGTAGATTTTCATAAACTTCACATGTAGATTTTCATGCCCCAAATACATACAGGAATATGTATTTGTTTCCAACAATATGAGTTCCCATTTTTCATCATACCTTTCAATAGGCACGTCAAGATTAGAGAGGGGCAAAATTCTCCACCCAATTCTAGATAATAGTAAGCATAGCATACAGTGTGAATCTTGGGACAATGGCTTCAGAATCCAAGTTATTTAATACAAAGCAGAATTGATTTGCAGAAGCTGGTCTTTCCTGAGGTTTTTATGCACATCATCATGTGAAAAAGTCTTATAGTGGACGACCTTCCCCCCCACAGATACTACATGTTTTTACAATGGTACTAATAGATAATGCATGTATTTAACAAAGCATATATAACTGCAGCGGTAACTTTTGGTAATAAAGGTATGAACCAGTCTCCATTAGTGGAATTAATGATAAGATGTCCATTATTATCTCTTATTGCAAGTATTATAAAAGGTATAGTACAGCAACTTTCTTGCTGTCATAAGATCCAGGTATCTGCATTCTCAAATAACCAGATGATTATGATTATTCTTTTTGCAATGGGTAGGACTGGTGATTTAAGAAACAGGGCCTGAATTTTACAGCCTGGAAGACTTGTAAGAATTTTGCAATGTAAACAGTCCAGTTAGCCAGTTTTAACCAGCATGACACCTACTCTAAACTATACACTGCTTCTTTTTAAATGGAACACTTAAGCTTTCCATTGTAAAATGTAAGCTTAGTTCCTTAGAAAACTGATTAACCAATAGTACAGTTAAATAGGGAAGCAGTTAACAAAAGAACTGTCTTGTTGTTATGAATCATGAGTAACAGGGCTGTTTCATAGTGTAGCACGTATCCTTGTTCCTTGCTACAAGAGAATACATCAGGTTCCTTGCTACCAGTTACTAAATATAAATCACATTAAAGGTGTCAATTTAATAAAATGTTGCAATATTGACCTAAAACACATGCACAGACTAATTAAGTTAGACTGGTCTCCACTGGACCTTTTGGCCTGTACAGTAGATCAGCTCCAAAGAGTGTGATCTATAAGCAAAGCCTCAAGTGAGAATGCCTCAAAACCTGCAGGAGGTCATAAGTTCTAAGACAGTTTGAACTCTCAAAGCATGATTTGAATTAAAAAAAAAAAAAGACTAAAAATCTAGCAACCATGGCAAGATCAGAAAGGAATAGTAATGAAGTACAATTGAATTGAAAATAAGGAAAAAAGCAAATTATGAGATAAGCAAATAGTAAAATTAAAATTAAAAAAGAAGAGATAAAAAGCAGTGCTTAAATGGACCACAATTTGAAGAATTTGGTGGAAAGCCAATTACTGCTATTTGATGGCCATGTTTCCAGGGAGCTTCTAGCTAATCCAGCTGGAGGAACATCTTGAGGGCTCCCTCAACATTTAAAGTTGATGGCACTATTTTTAAAAGCCCAGGGGGCCCTTGTCCATTCACAGACCATACCATCACAATTATCACTCATTTATTAGCCTCTTCATTATCTCCTACACTACCTGGGTGTTTTTTCTCCCTATGCAAATGGAAGGAAGCACATCTCTGGAGCTACTCATTGACTTCATGGAGTCCACCTGTGTTCAACGGGCATTTCTGGAAATGAAAGTAGAGCTGGATGCTTGGGCTTTGCCAGCTTTTGATTTTTTTGAAACCTAATATGCAAATACAGAGTTCTGGTCACTCCCTTGAGTAAAATCTCCAGAAGGTACACTTGTAGGATTTAAGCTATTTTTCCTTTTCTACATGAGGACTTCTTGGAGTATTTTGAACATTTTTCTCTATTTTACAGGATTTCCAGAAACAAATTCATCAAGGTGAATGAGCTGTTATTAAATATGTGTACCATATGTCTCTCCTACCTTTTTGACAATTCCAGATTTTTTTTAAAGTGCTCTTGAAGCAAACAAGGCTAGTTACTTTGCCCAGTTGAGATAGCACCGAATGCATATATTTTTATTAAAGAAAACAAAGCTGGTATGATTTAGAGTTTATGAGAACCATAAATTGGGGAAACTTTATCATTTATAGAAGGCAAACTGTTATAATCACATTTGATTTGTTTATGGGATTTTTTATAAACCACATAAACGGCCTATTTTTTTTTATTTATTTGGTGCATAGATTAAAATCATGAATCAGAATCAACACAATATTACAATGTTATTAACCCATTTGAAAACTCATTTTATTTCACTGACACCACAAATCTCATCAAACAGTTGATTTTTAAATTTAAATCACATACACATAACTTATTCTATAAATGTATTGGCTTTGACATTTCTAAGGCCTGTATTTTTGAATTCAATGTATGTGGCCAAAGTAAAAAGTTTAATTATGCAATACTGAAAACAAGAGTTTACATTAAACACTTGGAAATAAATTCACAGGTTCTCTCCAAACTAGCTGGGAAATCTTCCTCCCAACCCCCACACCATCCCAGATCAGACAAAAAGCTTAACTGCATTTAAAAAAACCTCTTGCAGTATAAAATTGTGTTTCTCTCAAAATAGAAATATTTGAACAGCAGAAAAAATGTATTTTTGGTTTTGTTGAGCTAGACTTACAGGTAGTTAAGCCTACACATACTACATTTTTGTCTGTGTTTGATATTTCAAAATAGCTTCATGATTTACTTGTCATCAACTAATTTTGATGAAACACTTTTCTCTTTATTACTATATGTGGAAAATTAGCTTTTGCTGGAAATGTATGCAGTCAATGTTAGGCTGTTTTCAAATGTGTGTGATTCACTACAGATTCCTATATATATATAATAAATCCAGCCTATTGCCCATGTTCGCACCTTTCACTGACTATGATAACTCTTAACTAGTTTTCATTTAATTATGCCATCTGCTGGATTGTTTTCTTCCATACTAGCTGTGCCCACATCTGGTACTCTCAAGTGTTTGGATTGCAACTCCCAAAAATATGGTTCTTTTGACAATTGTAATGCAACATTGTCTGAGGGACACCTCAGGATGACAGAGCTTAAATTTAGCTTAGTTTAGATCTCTCAGATGAGATTCATCAGTTTTATCTCATTCTATGTAAGATAGGCAAAGCTCTGAACTATTGGGGTGAGTGGCTTGAACCCTGATTTTTGTTTTATTTGAAAATACATTTCCAGTTTCAAGCACACGTATTTCTCTGTCTCTTCAAATTACAGAAGTCAAACTGTGTTCTTTGCGTCTTCTGAGTAAGGATTTAGAGTTTGGTCAATCTGTGATTAACACAGATCTGTTGGTTATTGCTTCATTTAACTGTAATCGCCCTATTCCTCCATCAAACAGAATGTGGTTCTGATCTCTATATTAGCTCCTCTTGTTTAATTTCTTCAAAATAATCTACTGAAACTATTATTAAGTTACTGTTAAGTCCCAGATAAGGAGAAGCAATCCCTAAGGTATCCAACTTAAAGGTTCTTGATATAGCAAAAAACCCAAACAAAACACAACCAAACATTAAAAAGACTGGATATATTGGTCTCCATGTTTTATAAAAACTACATATAGAATAATAGTGGAAGCACCCTTGCTATAAATTTCTTTTGAACTCATCACAGGGAAACTGATTCTGTGATATTACAGCAAAGAGCAGAAGAATTCTGTAACTTCAGAATTTGAAACAAAAAATGGATAGACATAAAGGGAGAAAGTAAAACATAACACAAGCAAAAAAGAACCAATTTAGACTAGCATGTATTTCAGAAGGCGGTTCATTTATTCTTTGCCGCTGAGCACACGTGTGGCACTCAAGAAAAAATTTCCCTGACTTTAAGGTAGCTTATTTTGTATCTTAATTTAGGATACATCACTAAAATGAACCAATCCTGGATGCTAGAATTTGTAATTCGATATAAATTACCTTGAAGTCCTGGTTCAGATTCATGTTAAAGTTGGTGTTAAATTCTTGTAAGAACATATCAATATAAAAAAAATAAATTCTTACAAATTCTTGTAAATCAATCACCAGCATCATTCAGTTATATTATTATTTGTGGCTAATACACTCAAATAATTTACCTACATTTATAAATCTTATTTATTATTATGTTCTAATATTGATTTTGGAACAGCTCAGGAAGAACAGATTGCATAGGGTCAGCAAAAATGTCGAGGCCTGAAAGAAGACATATAAACTCTAAATTCTAGAAACAACTCTAAAATTATAACATTAAATTAGAGAAAATGTACCACACAAATACACTATTGTTCCCCTTATCTTCTTATCTTCTTAAAGAAGATTAAAACTTCATCAGTAAAAGCTCTTTAATGATTTAGTTATGGATATTTTTCGGCAGTTCATTGAAATCACCAATATTAATTTTGGAATATCCTATTGGACAATTTGCTATTTATTAAGTTGTGGAAGAATTTTTATCACATATTGAAAGAAATAAAACTAGAATTTCTAATTCCATTTTCATCCTAATAATCATTTTTGCTTAACAATATGTTTGTTTTTCAAATTAAGAGAAAAACAAAAAATAACTAGGAAGCAATGAGAAGCCCTTACTGTGTATGTGTGTGTATTCCAATTATCTGTATGTACAATTCATAGACTACAGATCTCTCACAAGTGCATTGATTATGAATAATCTCCAAGAAAGTGTTTTACAGTTCCAATGTTTTAAAAACGATCTTAATTGTACATGTTTATACCAGCTCTGGATTTACACCATTTATAATCACACCAGTTCATCAATTTCTGGATAGGTACAAAAATTGTCAAAAAGAAAAGCAATTAAGTAAAAGACATATTAATTGAGGCACAGTGGTAGTTCAGTGTATTTACCAGGAAATGTGGAAAAACATAAAAAGACAGTCTAGAAAGCTGCATAGATATAATCACAATATGAAATACAAAGTCTAGTGGTTTTACTTGCTCTGTGTATTTGCACATTGAACTTAGCACTTTGAAGAGCCCTGCAGTCATTCTAGTTTCAATAAGTCTAGGAAATGAATCTAAGTAAATGCTTTTTGGGTCAATAGATGGGACTTTTTATTTCTTGTACTACCTGGCCTTTTTCCATTACATGGAGGTTTTTCTCTTCCGGATTCTCCCTGAGCCATCTTCCTCTTGTTTTTGTGCACACAAATATATTTGGGCAGAGATGCAAATCACTCCTTTTTTCCAAATAAGAATACAAATTGTTTGGCCTGCACATCAATGGATTTTTGTCTCGGTCATCATTCACGCAAATGCAAAGATGGAACATGACTTTTTATATTGCGTGTGCCTGGAAAACAGATGTGTCCTTCGCATGAGCAGCCAGTTATGTTAGAACTCACTGTCAAAGGGACTGCTTTTATTAGTGATCCCAAGGATTTGGGCATTGTGGTTCTTGCTGCTAAGATGCAAACTGGTAACCTCATATGGCAGTCCATGTAGACAGCTGTAAAGAAAACCAATGAGATGCATATGGACAGTTGGAAGTGTTTCAAAAGCCACTATCTGGGTAAGCAGCCATGCCAGTTATAAATAGAAAAAAAAACGTTTTGTCCATTCAACTGGGTCATTAACTTCTTCCCTGCCTATATTCTAAAATAGATGTTTCAGGCCTTGGTCAAATACACATTCAACATTTTTAAGCACCAAGTGACTTATTTCCTATCCCTATTTGAAGAAATGAAAAGGAACACACTATCTCTAAGGCTTATCATATAGGCTGCCTGTGCAATAATACCATCACAGTTTAGTGACTTAAGGTCAGTATCAAAATGAAGGTTAGAAAGCACAACTGTAGTAAAGTTGTAAGAACAGGAAGTTGGGATTGATTTGGAACTCCTTCTCAATCACTCAAGGTCTATGCAAATAATAATTTTAAAATAGCTTTTTTTTTCTTCCTTTCTTCCTTTACAGGTTATCAACAATGTTCCAGGGGAGTACTTAGCAACGTGGTTAATGTACTTATTGGTGCCAAGTGTGTGTGAAAGCAATAATCTTCTGTTTCTAACTTTCCTGCTGTTTAAGAATAAGAAGGCAAGCCCTGGCCTACACAGGACTGATATATCTTCTAGCTTTTCTTCAGTTAGCAGGATATTGCTTCTTCTTTTCTTTTTCTCTCCTCCATACAGCTACAGTTCTTCAGTGACACATCCGGGTTGTCATCTCTTTCTGGAAAGTAAAGGAAGGCATGAAAGATCAATAACCACCAATGTAGTAGACTATATATCCACACACACTTCTACTTTTCTCTTCAAATTCCACAGCAGGCTTGTTTGTGTAAATTTCCAAAATTTTCACTCCTGTTTATTCTCTCTAATGTTCAAGACCAATATGCATGGATGGCAATCATTTATTCTGGAAGATACCTCGCCTAAAAAGCTCTGGAAAATGCAAAATCCTCCTTCCATTTTGTCTAGAAGAACATATAAATACTTGGGAACGAGAAAATCTCTCCCCCACCCCACTTGTTTGTTTGCTTGTTTGAAGCCAATAGGAGAAGCCAATAGAAAGGGTAAACTGGAGGGAATTACAGACAGAACAGGAATTTCTGGATTTTGTTTGCCTTCCTGCTAAGTAGTTAACTGATATGTTCCATCAAAAGAAAAAAGTGCACACTAGAATAGGTGTGTTCATGTGTCTCTAGGGCAGGGTTCCCCAATCCCTAGCTCGCTACTGGGTCATGGCCGGTTGGGAACCAGCATGCAAAGCTTCATTTGTATACACACAGGATTTAGACTGCACATGCAAAATCATTCCACACCCGCCACCAAAATCGCCAAAGCCACCACCGCTGGTCTGCAGAACCAAAAGATTGAGGACCCTGTTTTGGAGTATCTAAACTGAAACATTAGGATTACAGTGTAAGCCTTGATCCTTCAAGGTGGATTACAATTTATTTTTAGGATAATTATGATTTGGAGGGAAGGTATCAGTAGGAGGAAGGGATTGCAATCCAATCTTTTGGATTGCAATTTCTTTCCAAGCTGGTCTTCCCCTCCACCCCCATTCCCAGCAAATGGACATTTTGAGACCTATTTTTCGTCAAGAGAAAAAAATTGGAGAATTTCAGAAGGGGAAAAAATACAGATGGATGATTAAGGCTGAATGTCTGTACATATAGTTACTTCTTCTATGCTATAGATTTTGCATACTGACATATGCAAAGATACAGCATAGAAGACCCTTTATTCTTGCCACAGAACGGCCTGCTAATGTATCACACATTTGAAAGCTTTGTTGTAATATGGTATATATCCATATGTATTCAGTTGTGTCATCACTCAAGTGCTTGGCCTTCAAATTAAATATTTATCATAAAACCTGACCCTTTTGATTTCTAACCCAATTCTACTTCATCCAAAATTAGGACTACCCTGTTTTCCCGAAAATAAGACATCCCCTGATAATAAGACCAATCGGGCTTTTGAGCGCATGCGCTAAAATAAGCCTCCCCTCGAAAATAAGTCCTCCCCGAAAATATTTAAAAGCAGAGCTGGAAATCAGCTAAGACGGCAAGAGTAGCCCCATCTTGCTCCATGCGCCCCAAAATAATAAGACCTCCCCAAAAATAAGGTCAAGTGCTTATTTTGGGGTTCAAAAAATATAAGACAGGGTCTTATTTTTGGGGAAACACTGTATATCTGAATGGCAAACATGGAAAAGAGGGAGAATGTAATAGTTTGGGCTACAGAGGCCGAAATGAAAAGATTGCGTAGGCTTGCAAATGTTTGCAATTCCAAAACCGAAGCAAATTTTTCCCCCTCCTTCTTTAAACAATTTAGTGCCTATAAAGGCCAAATAGCAGATTAATTTCTTGGCTATAGACACAAAGCTATTTATTAAGTGTGAAACAAGCCCGCCCACCCTTACATTTCAAGGTCTAGTACTGTACTGCAAAACGTCAACTTAATAGTTAGCCCATTTATTATGAAATCTACACTGCTGGCTTTTTCATAACAGTAAGTCTGAGCTTTTAACCATGCAGAGACATGAACAGATGGTTAAGTAAACATTAATGGAGAAATGCTAAATGTTTCACTTTAGTCAGATACTGCCTGGAAATTGAACTGAAGCTTATTTTTAATCCATGGAATGCTACAACTGAGGCTTCATGGAGAATTGAGGCAAGTCTCCATACAAAGCGTAGGACAAGGTAGCTCCAACCCAGGGGTGAAATTCACTTACCTTCCCTACCGGTTCGCAAATGTGCGCATCATCCGTGCATGTTCAAAGCCGCCTGCGCATGCACAGAGACTGAAAATTGTTGCAAAAAAGGATCATGATGTCCATGTGATGTCCAACCCCTTATACTCTTTGTTGAAAAGATATCAACTTAGAATATATGTAGCAGAGTACAGAGTTGTAAATATTTTTGCCATGGTCAAAAACATATAGCAGGAATGGGAAATATTATCTCTCGTGGCCAAAAGAGAAGGATGTTTGAAATTATAGTTTACCGACCATCTCTTTCAGTTACAAATCATACAGTAACAAATTCTGTGTCTATAAACCTCCTTCTAAAATCTTCAAAGCATTTGGAAGATATCATATATCAACTGAAAGAGAAAGAATTTGCTCATATCTATTTCAGAATTACTTTCACAATCATTACAGCTCTATCACTATAGCGATAAAGTGATTACGGTACTTGCCAGCCAACAAAAGAAATTCTCAGGCCTAATTATTACAGACATTACGGCCAAGCTAAAATTTGAGTCAGGGACTTTCTCCCAATACAACTAATGTTCTTTAATTACAACACTATGTAGGCTGCCTTGGAGAACTGCTTAGTGATCCTGAAGATTATGTTTTAAATTTCACATACCATGTCATGGAAAGCCTTCTCCGTGCCTTGGTTTTCCCTATAATCACAAAATATTTCATATCCTTTATTGTTAAGAGTTTTCATTCTAGCAATACATGATATGAAATATTTTAATGTAATTATGTAACGGCAACTCTAAGACAATCAAATGTCACATATCTACAGTAAGTTTTGAAATATGGTAATTAGCATAAAAAGTACAAAGAAAGAAACATACAATCTGATCTTCAACATCTTAATTCAACACCCGTGGCAAATTTTCTTCCTTTTGTTTTCTTTCATAGAAAATCACCCCCTGAAATGCTAGAGAATCTGCCTGCCCATAGTTTCAAAGCCATTGCATTCCTCGCACAACAGTTATGGAGAGAAGAGGAACGTGTGCCTGTGGGTCCTAAATACCTTCTGCTACAGGTAGTCCTTGACTTACAACCCCAACTGAGCCCAAAATTTCTTAAGACAGCTCTTAAGTGAATTTTGTCCCGTTTTACAACCGTCCTTCCCACAGTTGTTAAGTGAATCACTGCAGTTATTAAGTTAGTAACACGGTTGTTAAGTGAATCTGGCTTCCCCACTGACTTTGCTTGTCAGAAGGTTGCAAAAGGTAGTCGCATGACTCCGGAACACTGCAACACTCGGGAACATTGGCACTGCAGTTGCCAAGCGTCCCAATTTTGATCACATGACCATGGGGAGGCTGCAACAGTCGTAAGCATAAAAAAATTATGTCACTTTTTTCAAGGCCGTTGTAACTTCGGTCATTAAACAAATTGTTGTTAAGTCAAGGACTACCTTTATGTGCACACTCTAAACATGATCAGAAGTGTGGTGGGATATAATTCTTAAACCATGGAATCAGGGGTGGGTTCTAAATTTTTTTACTACCGGTTCTGTGGGCGTGGCTTATTTTGTGGGCGTGGCTTGGTGGGGGTAATGTGACTGGGTGGGCGTGGCCAACTTTTTTTTTCTTTTTAAAGCATTTTTTCTACATCCTTAAGAGGTTGTAGAAAAAATGCTTTTAAAAGCCTCTGACGATCCCAGCTGAGCCGCATGATCATCAGAAGCTTTTTTTTTTACCTTTAAAAGCATTTTTTCGGCCAAAGAGGTTGTAGAAAAAATGCTTTTAAAAGAAAAAAAAAAGCCTCTGATGAGGTGGGCGGGGTAAGTGAGTGGCGACCAGGCCGGGGACCAGTTCGGGGGCGTGGCCAGCCAATGTTATTACCAGTTTTCCAAACTACTACAAATTTTTACTACCGGTTCTTGCGAACTGGTGCGAACCGGGAGCAACCCACCACTGCATGGAATGTCTATAAGTGAAGAGCAGGCTCTCATAAAGATTTATTTTCCTGAAAGAAGCACTACAAGGAGACACTAATGACAATAGGCCAACAACTCAGGAGTGAGTAGGAAATAATATTAGATCAAATCTCAAGGCCAGATGGAGTATCCAACGTATTACTAAAATGGCAGCTCTATCTTTAATTACTTGCCAGGCAACAAAAGTAGGCTATAAATAAAATAAACCCTGAAATTCTCAGGCCCAGATGTTTGCCTGGGCCTGAGAATTTAACAGGTTGCCTGAACTTTCAGATTCAAATGTAAAGTTTCAAAGTACGGGCTGAGCATACACATTCAGTTTACATTCTCAGGCTTTCTGGAATGATAAAATGTCCACAAACAAGGGGATATTGTTTAAAGTTTTTCTTTCATCAAATATATGAAGTTAACTGCTCAAATAGTTTGGCAACAAAGTAAATATGACTTAAATTACTGTAATTACAGATAACCAAGCAACCTTTAATCTAATACAATCTGCAGAATGCAACATGCAATTTAAAGCTGATTGAGTTAAAACCTAAAATACTCACACAAGGGGAATTTCTTCTGTTTTCGCCATATTTCATTTAAGATGATATGTAGATATTTTTTTTTATATATATATGATATATAAGAAATTCTGATTCTTCATAAAATAAATTATTTGACTTTAATACAATCAGTTCAGTTCTGGAATGACTATCTATTCCACGGCTAATTAAATTTAGTCACAGAGAGGTAAAAAGGATCCTAAGAATATTAACAGAAAGTATCCAAAGTTAACAAAGGGAAGTGATAAGATCACATTAATTTTATCACTTGATGCAAAATGCTTGTACAGGCCCAGTACAGGTAGTCCTCAATTTACAACAGTTCATTTAGTGACCGTTCAAAGTTACAATGGCACTGAAAAAAGTGACTTATTTTTCATATTTATGACTGTTGCAGCATCCCCATGGTCATGTGATCAAAATTCAGTTGCTTGGCAACTGACTCATATTTATGACGGTTGCATTGCTCCAGGGTCATCTGATCACCTTTTGCGATCTTCTGACAAGCAAAGTCAATGGAGACACCAGATTCATTTAATAACTGTGTTACCAACTTAACATCTGCAGAAATTCACTTAACAATTGTGGCAAGAAAGGTCATAAAATGGGACAAAACTCACTTAACAAATAGCAGAAATTTGGGCTCAAAGACTATCTGTAAATTCTGCTAAACAGAAATGAGGCAACAGAACACAACAGCCAAACAAATATAATTACAGAAACTTAAAATACTTTAGCATGTTATGTTATGTAAGATAGCAGATTTGTATAAGCTCCATAAGGTAGAAAATTACTTTATACTGTACTATGAAAGACAATTGATCTGTCTCGTCCAGGATCTTGTTCTCACTACAAAGCTCTCTACTAGCTGGAAGTCCTATCAGTTTTGCTATCCAGGATCCTTTAAGGATGATAATTTGCTGCATTCTAGATAATTGTCTTAGTTGTGAATTCGTAGCATCAGAGACCATCCTTAGCTGTAAAGAATTATATCACAATGTATAGTCCAGAGGCCAGGATGAGTTTGGTAAAACCAAACGAAAAAAATATAAATAAATATTGCAAAAATTACTTACACACACAGTTTTTTTTTAAAAGACAGCCAGTAATTAATCTGATTTTCTTCATATTATGAAAACTTGCAAGACAGTTTTAAAATCTTTCCAAAATGTGTGATTTTTTTTTTCTTATTAGAGAGTGCATGAACATATAGAGACACAATTTAAGCAGAAGAATCAGATAAATATAAGGGGGAAAAAATCTGAGGTTTTTTTTAAAAAACACCTGAACAGAGATAAAATACTTACCAAAGGTTCTAGTTCCTTACGGTCTATGAGGTTGAGCTCTGTGACAAAATAATAAAAGTGCTTGTAACAGGTATTGACGTGGGCCTCAGCTCCCATGATTATGATGCGGTCAAAGTGATGAATGTAAACGTGTACAAACACCCGAAATAGCCTGCACAGGATCTTTTTGCAGATCTGGAGGAAGTTTTTGGGGAATGGTACACCTGTGAATAGAGATGATTGACATTTTGTTAGCTGAAAATATAATATTTTTCAGGATGTTTCTACTAAATGAACTTGAGCCTATTATATGTATCCAAGTTTTTTCCAAGTGAATATACTGGCTCTGAATTGTTTCCAAACGAAAGCTGAAAAATATTTACAACATGATATTTTCAGTGCTAGGGGAATATTGATTTATTCTTGCAGGAATCAAATTAATTTCCTCTCTTCCTTCTTCCCTTCCTCCCACCCTCTCTCTATTATGGTCACCCATGTCATATAATATTGTATACCTTTTAATGCATAAGAATAGTTTTTGTGGGTGGTTGTTGTTTTACATCAGTCTTTTTCCCAGAATGGTAGCTTTTCTGTTGGCTTTCTAGGTATTGGTTATTTCTCTCTGTGATTTTAATTTCATGATAGTAACAACATTCACCACTAACAAACACAACAAAAATCTGCAACAATCCAAAAGAGTTTACTGCAACAGCATAGCATAAGCGTAAAACAGAATTTTTGAAAACCACATTTATCTGACAATATTTATAGACCATCCCAATTTGACTAACTCTGGGTAATAACATAAGTAAATCAACATCTCTATAATTAAATTTATCACCATATTTTCCATCATACTGCTTGGGAAACACTGCAGAGGAGATGGACCTTACTTCCTCTTTCAGCAAATATTTTATTTTATTTCATATTTTTTATTCCACCTTTATTATTTATACAAATAATTCAAGATGGTAAAAATATCCAGCACACACACCTATTTTCTCCACGACAATCACCCTATGAGGTGGGTTGGGCTGAGAGTGACTGGCCCAAAGTCACCCGGCTGGCTGTCATGGCTAAGGTGCGACTTGAACTCATGGTCTCTGGCCTTCTAGCCTAATCACTAGATTAAACTCACTCTCATATGCTACAGCACTGGATAGAAGTGGTTCAGAACTGATCAAACTGGGATTGAGGCAAAGTGAGTACCGTATTTTTCGGAGTATAAGATGCACCGGAGTATAAAATGCACTTTAGTTATTGGGGAGAAAAATAAGAAAAAAGCTGATTGGCAGGTGGATCAGCCTCCCGAAATACGCCCAATCAGCTGTTCCCAGAGGTGAATTTTAGCAACAGGTTCCTTGGTTGTGAGCTCTGTGCCTTGCTGTTTTTTCTGTCTCTGAAACTTCTGAAACTCTGTTTCAGAAAAAACTTTTTTTCCTGCCTCTGAAAGCCTCCGAAACAGAGCTTCAGAAAAAAAGCCTCTGAAGTTCTGTTTGGGGGCTTCTTTTCTGAACCTCTGTTTCTGATGCTTTTTTTCAGCCTCTGAAACCTCAGTTTGAGAAGCTGGGCAGGGCTACATTCAGAGTATAAGACGCACCCAGATTTTCACCCCCTTTTTTGGGGGGGGGGGAAAAGGTGTGTCTTATATTCCGAAAAATACGGTAAGTGCTTTACTTCTGCTAACTAAATCACATTGCTTCCGCAGCGCTAATCCCTTCACTTTCCATTCACACGGGCTTAATATGGAGGTAGGGGGAAGTTACATGGCCAATGATTTTTATCTTGTTTCCCTGATGGATAAACATAATCTGTTTGGCACTGCTTCAATACTTTTCCTCCAGTATAAATAAAAGGTAAGATACTGAAACATGCTGAGGTAAATATTAATTTTGAGCAATCAACATATAGGAGCAGGATCTCTTCTAGCTCCCTGAGCACTGAGTGAGCAGTGGTTTGATCTTTTCTAATTTAATTTGCCTATCAGATACTGTATAGAAAAGCATAAAAAATAAATCATAGAATATAAAATGTAGTTAAAAACCAGAAAGCACAATATAAGATCCATAAATAAGAATATCATATAATACATCAATAAATTGTTTTAGTAATTCAAATTCCAAAAGCCATTCATAATATTATTATCAGCGCCTGACTTATACATATGGGAGAGATTGTTCCTTCAGGTTAGTAATGTTGAATCTGTTTTTCAGATTTATGTCAGAGCACACAGGTGTTTTGCTAAGACTGCAATGGTAGCCTGAAGAATTTTAGATTAAATTTAGGGTGCTCTGACATATAAATTTGAAAAAGAGATTGAACATTACCTTGAAGGCTCAGGAAGGAACCATACAGCCACATTCTGAGTGCAATGAACAGTAATCTCTGTTTTTTTCTAATGGGTAGTTCCACCAAAATACAATAATCTAGGAAGGAGGTAACCACTACATAGGTAATGTAACCAGAATTGGCCTTTCTGGAAAGTGACACTGATGGCAAGTAATTCATAATTGCAAATATGCACTCTGTGTTGATTTGACATTTGAAGAACAGCACTGGATCAAAGAAAATCCACCAAACTAAGTAGGTTTCTTCAAGAGAAGAGAAGCTGCATTAAGTGCAGATGTAGTCCCATTCATATGAATAAAGTTTCCCCCAACTACCAAAGTCATAGTATCTTGTCTGGATTCAGTTTAAGCCCGTTACATTTCATCTAGTCTGCAATATGGCCCTAGTAGCAGTCCACCAAAGAACCAACAGACATGATAAACATGGAAAAGAGAAACATGTCATCCACACAGAGGTGGCATCCAGCCTGACATTCCCTGATGACTTTTCCCAGTGGCTTCATATTGACCTGCAGAGAGGACTATCATTTGATATCTGCCCTAAATGTAGGAGTGGAATTATGACAAAGTTATGCCTTCAGGCTCAATTCTCTTAAGTGGACAGAAGGATATTGTAATTGATTGTAAAAACATTGCCGGAAGATCCCAGGGGCTTCTTTTGCCTTTCTGATAATTAAAAATAAAAATATAGGATATTTCAGCAAGATAGTGATTCAAAACCTCCAAAATGAAGTTTTTAACCCAAAAAGCTATGTTGGACTAATGCACATACATTATGTCCCGTCTCATGTAGGCAAAAGCCAAGAAAGAATGACCCACAGACCTTAGAATGAAAGCAATTAAGCAAATTTTTATTTATAAAAATAATACTAATAAAAGCAATATAGGTAGTCACAGGTTACGACTACAATTGAGCCCAAAATTTATGTTGCTAAGTGAAAGATTTGTTAAGTGAGTTTGCCCCGTTTTGCGACCTTTCTTGCCAAAGTTGTTAAGTGACTCATTGAATTTGTCAAGTTAGTAACATGGTTGTTAAGTGAATCTGGCTTCCCCCACTGACTGTTGCTTGTCAGAAGGTCGCAAAAGCTGATCACATGACTCCAGGACACTGCAACTGTCATAAATATGAGTCAGTTGCAAAGCATCTGAATTTTGATCATGTAACCATGGGGATGCTGCAGTGGTCATAAATGTGAAAAATGGTCATAGGTCATTTTGTTTCAGTGCTGTCGTAACTTTGAAGGGTCACTAAATGAACTGTTGTAAATCAAGGACTACCTGTATACTTAGACAGGGGAGCTGTGGCATGACTTATATTCAACTTTAGGGGTTCTTAGTATACATATAAATAGCCCTGGGGATCCCCATCCCATCTGACACAGAGAACGAACCTCTGGATTATCGATCACAATGCTGACATTTGGCTTTTTATATCAGCAAAAACATGTGGGAACGAGGAAGTAATACTTGCTCCCTATTTTGACTGAGGAAATTGATTAGGGGGAACAGGAAGATGGTTACATAACTAGCCAGAGGTGATCTAGTTAGTAAGTGGAAAGGCTAAAAGGGGCCAGCCACAAGCTCATTATCAGTACTTTGCAGCACGGGTCAAAGAGTCAGCATGTGAGTTCCTTGGGGAAAACAGGAAAGCAGCAAGAAGAGGTTAGGCTGGCCATGCAAGAGTTCACGTGCAGAATTGTGTATCGGAGTTGTAATCCAATACATTTAGAAAGCTACCATTTAGAAAGCTACCACTGTGTGAATGCATACTCCACGGAAGGTAGATAACAATATTTTTTTTAACATGGCCTTCTTACTGTAGGGTTATTACTGTAGGGTAGGATTATTTCAGATACCGTGTTTCCCCGAAAATAAGACTAGGTCTTATATTAATTTTTGCTCCAAAAGATGCATTAGAGCTTATTTTCCAGTTGGGTCTTATTTTCAGGGGAATACGGTACTAAATGTGTCTGTCTGGCTCAGGATCTTAACTAGGTTTGAAGTCTATAGATACCCTGAGGATACAGACAAACCTCCAAGTGTTTCAATGACTCTCTAAAAGGATGCAAATGAACAGCTGTCTGCAAGGAATATAAATCCTTCCATTCCCCTCTATCTTGTCAGAGCTGAAAAAGCTTCTTGGATGAAAAGCAAAACATCTTCAAAGACAAAACAAGAAAGTCCAGTTGCCTTCTGAAAAAGCAGCTTTGGGTTAACTGGATTTGATTTTGGGGGACAGGGCTTATATTACAAGCATCCTGAAAAAATCAAGCTAGGTCTTATTTTCTGGTTGGGTATTTAAATGATTTGACTTATAAAGACAGAAACACCTAACATGTTGTAAAAGAAGAAATAATTTTACAGGCAGACGATTAAAGCATTAAATTAGCTCTCAAAGCAGTAATTATTAAAGAAGAAATAAAAAGAGGATTTGGGGAAAAATTGTGCTAGTAGCTACTTGCTTAAATAGAGCAAAGGAATGTATTACTAGATGAATGATTTGGCTCTGGTTCAAGCAGTGTTACCCATTCATCTCCTGAATAAAGGAGTATAATAGAACAAACTCTGTAAATTGGCTCTAAATTGGGTTCTTTTAGATTGCCATTTATATTTACAAGTAGCCCACCATTACAGTAGTGGCCAAAATTGTGGAAACCTTTTGGGAAAAGTGTATTTTCTAAAACTTCATCTGAAGAACACAATAATCCTTATAAAACATTTGTATAACTAAGGCAGCTTTCTGTTGTGTGGGACTGGACTGTAATTCCCGCTATTCTATTCATTACTGTAACATCTGGAAATCATGGGCAAAAATTACTTATTTTCATGAAGGAAGACTGAAGCTGAAGGAAGCTATATGGCCACTTAATTTCAGT